TAATATATATATATATATATATATATATAAATATGTTATATTAACTCGTACACGTTAGGAGGCATATGGACTATGTGCATCTGTACTCAAACACACAGGAATTCATGCACAGAAGCACATACGTCTTTTCTTCTTTTTTTCTTTTTCTTCTTATTAGCCTGCACAACAGTATCCACCTCTTGCTCTTCAGGCATCTCGGTCACCTTCGACGTGATGTCCTTCATTGTCCAGCACACCTTAACTATGGTAAGTACCTGTTGAACGCTGTGTACTGCGTATAATACCGGAGTTATGTAGTGCTTGTATATTGTAGAAAATCGGTGCACATATTTATATATTTATACTGATATTTTCACGTGGTGTCATCAGAATTTAGACAGAAACATAGAACACAATAATGTCAAAGTGTCATTAGTTCTCACTCCTTTGTCTGCGGCTCTGCGACTCTGCGACTTAGGGCTGCGTGCAATCAGCAATGCCAACCTCATTATAGGCTCATGCACATATATAAATATCAGCCTTCTACAGAAAATTGAAATTAAAAATTTATAATGTGAGCTGAATTATATGAGCATTGGCATATATTAAGTATCATCCGAAGGGGCATATAGTATGAATAAATCAATCGACACCCTTCCCAAACTACAGCAAACGGGAATGCTACCCATTCGGATCAAATGTCCGCAAAAAATCCTGCCGAACGAAGTATTGCTGCGCATACTCACATCCTTAGAGATCCAGACACTTAAAGCATGTAGATTGACTTGCAAGTCCACTATGGTCTTGTACAAATACCATTAAAGTTCAAGAGAGGACGCGAACATTATTATGGAGTTGATGACTTAATCTCCCGATTAGAATGTTTTCTCCGCTTGGAGCATTTCACGTTCCCGGAAGTGAATAAATGTGTGCATTCATATAGCGCTTTAACGACTACATAATCCTTTTGTGCATGGCTATGTGTTATTGGAACCGTTGGTGTTTTCATGCCATCTTTCGGTAGTTTTTAGTCAAATCGAGATTATAAGTGCAGGTAGTTCTATATGAACTCTGTGATCAGCACAGTTGACTGTCTACAGTCTGTTTTTTGTATCGTCTGTATTATAGGTGCTATGTTTGCTAATCTGGACAGCGTTCGGGAGCCACGTCTGGACCAGGCTTCATTTATCTGAACACAATGTATTGAAGTTGCATGTAGTTGGCTGAGAACGGCGTAAGATGAACGTCTTCTCACAGGTTTACTACAGTCCTTGGTATTTAATTACACGTGCCGTGTCGCATCCGCGCAGTATATCATCGCACTAGTCGTCTGGAGTTTCTGTCATGTCAAAGTTTGTAAAACTACTAGTCTAAATCCCTACAATGTCTACTTAGAAGTACAAATATCATCTGGCCGATTGCAAGCCTGTACACCGGCTTTTGGGACCGGCAATATTTAATAGTTATTTTGTGATTCAAAGTCACATTGATGACAGTGTGCGCGTGAAGATGTTGATGCTCGTTTCTCATTGGGTCCATGTCGCTGTGGGTGTACAACATTTGTACTTATCATTCACGAAACCCAATGTCTGCCCAATCTCAACATTATAGATACATGTGAGGCTAATTTTGATGACCATGATGCTCGGAAGAAGTTGTTTCACAAGTAGTGGGTCCCGCGTAGAGGTTGATTTGGTCTGTGTTATGCAGTACGCCTCTATATAAGCAATAATGTATGCAAAGAATCTCAAATCGGTCGGCCATACTCCCCGTGCTACTATATTGACTATTGTGCTTGTTTTATGCTTAGCATACTCATTGGGCTAAGGATATAGCCATGATTAGACTACTTTATATTAAGAACACATCCTGGCAGACTCGTGAATGTTGTCGCCCTCGCCATTGCAGATTGCCACTCCAGAAAGTAGTTGTCAGTCAATTCAGCGGAATGGATTTCGACACCATGGCTAGTCTGACACAACTGATTGTACACCACGAGTATTTCGTGCCTATACCAGCAATACGCAGCCGAACCCTTAAACGGCTTGAAGTGTTAGAAGCAGTTTCCATCGCAGCTGTTCTAGATGGCTGTCCAAATTTATCTGAGCTGGTAGTTTGGGACACATCCGTTGTCCAGCCGTTAAGTGAGTCACTTTCAAAATCGGTCCTTTTTCATTCTATGCGCAAATCTACTTAGTTGCTTGTGATCGCAGTTGATGTTGTAGGATCTCTGGGTTTCCGAGCTATGACACAGCTTTTAAAATTCCACTCTATCCTTCATCAGCCTGCCAATATCCGCAGCTCTTCGTCATATCTGAGTGCATGGCTCTTCGTCATATCTGAGTGCATGGCTCTTCGTCATATCTGAGTGCATGAGCTTTCGCATAGCTTTGCTGAAACAGACTCGAGTATTAATCGCACCCAAGCTTGACTTGCCGATATTTTCTACTTTTATTTGCAGAGAGCCTTTCACTTAAATCGTTGCGCGTACGCTCTGTGAAAACCATTGATGCGTTCAAGGAATGTCCGCATATTCTCTCTTTAACGGTGGATACGCTACGTCCATCCGAGGGACTCACCTGCGCTACAATCAAGAATCTGAAGGTCAGGGACGAGAGCGGCCGATTTCCGTTGGATCTAGTGGAGTGGCCGAATTTGAAGACGCTCTCTGTGCTGAAATCCTTTCCGTGTAGTCTGGTCTCGGAAAGCCTGGAAGTATTGAAAATCAAAACGGGCAGTGTGCCTTCTCTTTGGGTTCTGCCCAAACTCAGGAACGCACGGCTCCCAAACTTTCATACTGCATTGGCGCGCGACGTCAAAGTACTTGATATTGGCACATACGTGGGAAGCGATATGCTACACACTGAATCTACGAAAAAATCTACGGCCCATATCCGATCTAATGCACTCGAGTTTAGCCGATATGATCATTACCAGCACGAACAGAACTTGTCTTTCGACTGTTGTACTCGTCTTGAAACACTTATTTGGCGATCTGAACGAGTGAATGTCCTCTTAAGTCCAAAAGTTTGAAATATCTCCACTGCAAAGGATTTGTCACGCCCGCTTTGTTCCTACATGCAGTCAGGCACTGTCCGCTACTGGAGGCAATATACCTTGTTGCCGACTATGACGCACCCGTTGTATGTTTGTGGCCTGCACATGGCGAAGAAGACAATGTTGAGGTGATGTGGGAAAAATTGGGAGCTTTACGCGTTCGTTTGTCATGTACAGTGTATGTGCGGTGGAGAGAGTCGAGGGCTATGCCAGATAATTTCAGACAGCTGCTACTAGAAGGCAGAGTGGGGTACTATATGAGCTCCAAGGACTGAAAACTCGCACTGATGAGTGCAATAAACATTCCCCGTGGTATCCTTATTTTTTTATTGTTCCGAGGCGTGGCAAAAATAAATATATGGTCTGTAGGTTGGCTTTAAAATAAGAGATGCATTCAGCTGTGATCTGACTGAAGTAACACTTCCCTAATGTGCCATTACCTACATCCTTCTTTGAGATTGTCCGTATTAGGTGTTCACTAAACGATACCTGACAACCGAAGCAGATTTGATTGCACTATTGATTTGTTTTGAAGTATTATGTATTACGAGCGAACGTGTGAACAATTAACATTGAAATTTAGCAAAGTTCACACAATGGCGGCGTTACGATTCTTCTTGTAACTTCCAAGTTCAATTCTACTTGAATGATGTAAATAGTTGCCTGAAGTTAAGCCGTCAGAAACATTTCCAGCGCTTTATCTTGGTCATGAACGATACCTTTATTTAGATTACCGGTAGCGACTATGATGAGCTTTCCTGTACTAACATTTACCTTACTCACTTGAGTACATGAGGCATAAACGTGGGATATTCACGGAATTAGAACTAGTTGATTACGGTAAATTTTTTGGGTAACCTGAGTGCAAGTAGATATCACACGGTTTGAACATTGTAGTGTTTATACTTTCAGAATCAGTAGAGGGCTATATTCTCAGAATATTGACGGATACAAATTTATAATCATATGACACATTTATCGATGACTATTTACACCTCGTGAGTCTTCGGGTTCAGGGTGGACTGGTGTCATATTATTGATATTTAAATCAGAACTTCAGTTGATACTGCAAGATCCAACACGATCCAATCGTAGAAGACAACCCATCTTCACAAGCAGCTCCTATACCACACGCTGTGACACAATCGTCACCTGGCGTAAGTTGTGTATCACACACTGTGATCGCACCAACAGCAACACTAAGCACTACAGCCACGGGGAATATTTTTTTCTCAATCGATAGTTTGCTAGGTTTAAGACCTATTGCTGCACACGCACAGACATCACCTACCGGCACAAGAACAGTACAAAGCGTAGCGCCTGACGGATCAACATTAGACGCAACACTAAATACAAGACGAGAGTTTGCCAGTACTACATATACACCCCCTCAATCAACACCTATAATTCCACGCAATGAATCAGCACAGACTCAAACGTCAGCACGTGTACGTGCACGTGCCGGAAACACAAATAGAATAGTCTACAACAGTGCAATGGAGATTGATAGCAGCATTCGGCGTGTGCAGGATGGGATCGAAGTCCGTGAGGTGGACGTGGACACTCGTCCGCTAGATAATAATTACAAAGAGGGTGATGTTTTGTTAGAGCAAGACTTGCATGATGTTAGTGTGTGCGAGAGGCAAAAAATGGTGCAGGCAGCTACTCTGCTACGCTACCACATATTAAAGAGGATGCTACATATGTAGATCTTTTCTTGCACATGATGCCCGCGGAATATATACGAAACACTCTCGTACCAGCGACAAATACCAAGCTTGTACAAATGAAGAAACGTGAGATTGATCCAGCCGAATATTATGTTTGGCTTGCATTAAGGATGATGATGGCCAAGTACTACAGTAAGCACGCAAGCGACTTCTGGGACTGCAACCGTGACCCTTTAGATCATAAAGCCCTAAAATGAATAAGACTAGATATGAAGATATACGTAAGCATCTACAACTGCGCAACTCACCAGTAACTCAACAGGAATGCGATGATAAGAAGTTTTATATGAGAGAGATCGTCAGTGCATGGAATGCTAATATGGATCATCATTTTGAGTGTTCTGAGAAGGTCTGCATAGATGAGACCATGATGGCCTGAGATAACCCTTCGGGGTTTGACCAGATACATTGCCCACGAAAACCTAAGCAATATGGCAATGAGTGGAAGACCATTGCCTGTTGTCAGACCAATATAACTTTCCAAGTTGATCTCTGTGAGGCCAAGGTGCGCCCCTCATACCTGCCTACTCTGCCCTACTTAAATGAGTTATCTACCGTACAAATAGTGATGAGACTACCGATAGCACCAAGTGGAGTGGACGTAAGGTTATAATGTATAGTGGGTTTAGTGTTTTAAGGGTACTGTTTGTCTTATTGTCCTTTGCAATTTACGGCATGTTCTTTGCTAAGAAACGTGGGTCATGACCGAAAGGCATACCCGGAGACAAGCTGAAGGAGCTTATGGCCGACAAACCCCTATTCAGCTATGGTACCTTGAAGGGTTCGTTCAATTATAACAAAGATGCCGTAGCTGGGAAGAGTGACTTTTACTTGCTTGCATTTAAAGAGGCGAAATACAAAGGCATATGTGCAGCCGCATACGAGACTATTCATAGAGAGGGTGAGCGTATGGACCGATATACCGAGGACAAAATATTCCAGATCCAATATCCGGTAATATACTCGGATTACTATAACAAAGGAAGGGCTGTTGTAAATATAAATAATAATCTACGCAGCAATACAGTGTCTATGGAAGAAGGCCACTTCACCAGATCGTCGGAGCTACGCATCCATGATTTTTTTTATGGATCTATCCATCACTAATTCTGTGTGCGCTAGCAAAACACTATACAACAACCCGCAGACTGTACCAGACAATCAGCTTTTATTAGCAAAAGGGCTGTTAGATATCTACGGACAGAAAAGAACGGCTACTAGGAGTGGTGATTTCTTGATGGCCGACTGCAAACTAACAGCTAGACCCAAGAACAGTGGGGAGTATTGTAAGAAGAAACGCGAGGTTGGAAAGGTAAAATCATCGTCGCAGGCTATGCGATGTAGTGGAGGACTTTGCCTAAAACGTAAGTTTCTTAAAAGAGAACGCAGGACTACCTACTGTGCGTGTGAACCCGGAGAAACCCTCTGCGTTGAGTGTTACGTACTACATAGAATCTCAAAAATGTAAAAAAAATCAATCAAAATTCGACTTCAAAGTGCGAAACGGAAATGGTTCTCTACGCGCACTATTACGCTGTATTTCAAATCCGTCTTCTCTAGCACGTTCGGAATGTATATGAGAACACATAGAACTATCTAACACTCGTGTACGTATATATATATATATATATATATATATATATATATATATATACTACTAACGTTACGTTACGTTACGTTCCTACACACTAACAAGTAATTATTACTTAA